AAGTCCGGCCGGCTCTTCCCGGAATACAGACCGGCTCTCAGCCCCACTTTCTGTACCGGTGTTCACTCAAACAGCCACCGGAAAGTGATCGAAATGAGGAAGATGAAAGAGGTTCCCGAACCGACAACCGAGTTGACCCCAATGGTCCAGAGTTACTGAATGAAAATGAACCGGGTTGGCTGGGCCGGAAAGATAAGAAAAAAGTGGGACCAAAAAAGGCAGATTTTTTTAGGGATCCATTTTGTATTTGTTAGGGGTAGGGAGGCATTGAATTTAGAACGAGGGAATTAATTTTAGTTTAGTATTTTTGTGATATTAATTTGATTAAATTAGATTTTGTTGATGTAGATTAGATTAGATTTACTTAGATAGGATTAGGACTAGGAAAAAGAGGATATTTTTGTATTTTTGTATTATTCAGTTAGTTTTAAGAATATAAATACTACTCACCTTCTTTTTGAGTAAGTTCGTTCTATTTTCTTTTAAGTTTGGAGGTTTGAATTTTGTTTTTTATATAGTTTTTTTTAAAAGAAGGGAGAAAAGTGGGTTGGGTGTGGGGAGAAGAGACATTATTGAAGCTTTTAAATTTATTGTTGAGAGACATTATTGGAGGGATTGTAGAGAGCAATAAAGGGTGGGTGGGTTGGTATGAATGGTTGAAATTATCTCTACTTTTTGGAAGGGGACCAAATTGGTAGCGGTGGTTGATTGGATTCAACAAACATTAATGCCACTTTCTTTGGTGAACAATATTTTACTATCTATTTCTTTTTTCTTTCTTTCCTTTTTATATTCAAAGGATCTACCTTTTTTTCACCGTCTAATTTACTTTGGTTTACCTTTCGCTAATCTAATTTCAACTCTGGGTTCATTTTAATTTCTATATTTTAAAAATATCTATTCAACTTTTGTTTATTTTAATTTCCGTGTTTTTGAAATATTTGTTTTAGTCATTATACTTTTAAAAAATTTAACAATTTGACCTTTATATATAAAATTTTAACACAGATTATATCCACAGTTGAAATAAACGAGATAAAAGAAAAATGAAAGAGTCGAACTGAACAAAATTGAAACATGTTTCAAGGAGCAAAATGAACCAAACTTGAAAATATAAAAGTAAAAAAAGTATTTAAACCATTTGTATTCTTTTTGTATTCATGAATGTCATGCAACTTTGAGTAATTTAAGGGAATTGCCTCCTGATCTTATGACTTTTTTAGTTAAGAAACATGTAGCATCTAATTTGTTTTTAGTTATTTATTTTAAAATTTTATTTGATAATTAATTCAGTTTTATTTTTAAATATTTATGACTATTTTATAGCTTATTCATTTTCTTTTTAAATAAAATCTGAAAAAAAAAGTGTTAAAAAGTTGAAAACAACTAAACTAGTTTTCTTTATTAAAAAAAAAGACTGAGCGGAGAAAAAAAATAAAGTATATATTTCAATACCTTTCTCTTCTTTTAATATGCAATTCAAATTTATTTGAAACGTATGGTTAGAAAAACATTAATAAATGGCGCATAAAATCTTAACCAAATGAAAAATTAAGGACAATAAAATAATTCTTTTGTCAACATAAGCTGAATAATTAGCACGTCTCTGACCAAGATGTAGTTTTAGTAAAAAATTTCTGACTGCCAACGTGAAAAACACCCGATAAACTAGCTAAATTATTTAATTAAAAAAACTAAAAGTAAAACAGAATCATTATGAAACAAGCAAAGAGACTATTTTTAAATATTTAATTTAAGACATTTATATTATTACTAGATTTGCATTTTTTTAGGGGGGGTTTGCATTGGTTAAACTATACAATTTGAAGGGTAAAAACTGTAGAAGGATTCTGAACATAAAAAAGTCATCTTCAATTTACGATAAAAAGGGTGAAAAAAGATTATACATGACATATAAACTAGTAAAACATCCATTTGAAACTCATTCGAAGACGAAGCTTCGATTCCTCTTCCAGCAAAATTCAAAGGTTGCATCAAAACATGAACAATCATTGATAATAAAATTCATTACATTATTTATTACAGCCAAGTGAAGATGACATGCTCCTCTCAGTCAAGAAAGATCAGAATTTGATCAATATTTCACATAATCCAACCCTACTTACTGTATAATGACTGACTTTATTTCATTTATCCGTGGACGTACCTCATTTCGGTCGTCGCCGATAAGGGTATAAGATATCATCGAAACTCTCTTTTATGTAGTTGCAAACTCTGTTTACATTCCTGGCTACACCTGATGCGACAAGGGTCGCGTTCCTTTTAAACCTGCACATTTGCATTCTTTGGTATATTATTCACGTTCCTTAAAAACACATGAATTCTCCGCCAAAGTTATAAAACAAAGTCAAATTTTTAGAGACTGTTTTACTGATTTTCAAAATTTGGCCTAAAATTAAATAGAAATACATGGATGAAAGTTCTCAAAACAAAAAAATCTAAAAATGGAAGGGTTATCAAACGTGGCCTGAAAAAAAGCCCTTTGAGCAGTCAAATGACGAGTTTCAAGAAATTCTTGCCTGTTCAGATACTCATCTCCAGCCGAATAAGATGGTTTGTAGTTCCGCGGCTGTGGAAAGGCAGGGCTATCTGTTGAATATAAAGAACAAATTAAGTCCAGAAGAACATTTGAATAGCAAGAAAATGGGCTCTACAAAGATTAGTATCTCTGCAACAATGGAGTAATAGAAGTTTATCAATCTCGCAACTGGGGTTCGGGGTATATAGGACGATTAAATAATAAAGAATATAGGAAAATCTTGATGAGGATTCACGCTAAATTTAAAGAAGTTATCCATCCAGAAGAGGAAAAACAACCAAAACTGAGATATTAGTACTAAAAAAAGGAAATAGTAACTTGTAGTACCTTCAGTTTTATCATGAATATGAGTATGAGCATGGGAATGTTCCGCAGGTCTTTTGTCCAACAATACCTGAAAACAAGGATATGTTTGTTGTTTGTTGTCAAGATGTAAAATGGTAAAAGAATAACCTTTAGATGAAATAGAAATTGAACTGCATCTAAAATTTTAAATCTCGTATCCAAAAAGATCAATAATTCAACTTGAAAGAGAGATTTAATGTTACTATACCACAACACTTGAGGATTAATACATGCATGCAAGTTCCATCATAGAGGTTCCAGGTGCTATAATATTTTAATTTACATGCACATGCATCATCATAAACAATGAGCCTCCAAATTCCAATATAATAAGTTTTAAGCTCAATTATAGAGAGTAAACTGAGCACCACACTTCTAAGCAGATGAAAGCTAAAAATAGACATGTTTTATGCTAAATATGTCAAACAGGAGAGAGAGAGAGGGAGAGAGAATGTTATTTCAATATTTTATGCATCTTAAAGTAAAAACTGAGACATTACAAACCTCTAAACCAACGCAGAAGGGAAGCTCAGCTTGTTTGTTTGGTACATCATCTGATGAATCTTTCTTTTCTAAGTAGACAGAGTAACCAACGCAAGCATACTTGAAATCTGTTAGATTACGTCCCTCTTTTGAAGCTTCCAACTCAGTTTCTCCCACTACGTAGTTGGGTACTGCTTAGAAAAATTGAAGATTACTATGTATCTAGTGAAATTTAATGTTAGTTTAGTTGAGAACTGGGGGATGGGGGGGTCATTTAAGAGAATAAAATAACTACAAAATGTTTCAGAATACTGAATGAAAGCTCAGCTTGTTTGTTCAAGCTATCAATCTAAGAACTTCAATCGAAGAAAATTCCCAAATTGCTCAAAGGTGAAACCCCACAAAGGACACAAGCAATTGCATAACAATGTGAAGTTGTGAACAAACTGAAGTTTCAATTATAAAAAGTATTAACACCACTTTTCAATAGTCCATACAATCATACCTTTACATTTAAATAAAATCTTGAGCAACTCCTCCAGTAAATTCTCTTCAACATATACAACTTGTGCAATCTCAAATGAATGATGTGTGTGTCCACTCAAAAGGCTGCAAGAGCAACTATGGAAATCTTTACGATACAAAATACATCTCAACTTTGGGGCAATAAATCACATAATTGAGAATCTGGTTGGCAAAACGGAGTATCTCAGACAAGACGATGTGCACATTGGCAAATTGTCCCATCTCTACCATCACTGAAAACACAAAACTATCATATCCAAATATGCGAAGCACATGCAAAACTTTATGGGTTTTATTCTGCTGTTGCACTTTTTTTAATAACCATTAGTGTCTAAACTAGTTCATATGCATTATGCATCTTGACTAATCCCACCATATATATTGATATCTTATGGAAATGGTGACAAAGGTCGACCAATGACCTTGAGGAGAGTATTTGAGGATTTTGCAGCTTGCTGCACCACTAGGGCGACTTCAAGTGATTTCTTGATCTTTGCATGGTTAAATATCACCTTTCTAAGGCACTACTGCAGACATCTGGAGGTGCCTTGAATTCTTCTAACTAATCCTCTCTTCCTTTTCAAACACCTTATCCAATTCCAACAACCTTATTCCGGAACACTTATCCAGAAATCCTTTTTCACAAGTACTCCTACTTTACTTTCTCTCATACTTCCAAGTTCATTTATGTAGCTCATTCTAATGATATGTGCCCCGTCCAGCTAATATCTTCGTCTCTTTTTCTGTTGATAGTACCACCAACCATGCTTTATCTTTGGTGCAGTACATCGAGATATTCTTCTGCAATGGTAGTTTCGTTTTCACTTCAATTCCCAAAAGATTCCTACTCTATATAATAATTTTCCCAAAATTTTCTCTACTTTATGTTTATACAAAATCCTCGAGTTTCCTATTAAAAACTTGATTCAGAAGACACTTTCTGGATTTTGAGATTCAGTAATTGGCTTTAGTGATCCACTTGCTCCCCTCTTTTCACATATCATTACAGACACTTGGTGGTTATGGCAGCTTGACCCAATAGGCCTCTTCTCAGTAAGCCCCCTCATCCATGACCTTGTTAAATTGTGCAGCAAACTCCCCTCACTACATTGGCATTTGAAAAATACCCAAAAAAATAAATATCAAGTTCTTTTGGGAGCTTAACCACTCAAGCATAAACAATCATGATAGGTTAAAAATGGCTTCCTTGGTGTGCTATCTTTCCAAGTGAAATCCTGATTTGCAAGGAAGAATCAAAATCACAAAGTCATATTCCTCACTTGCACATATGCAGGAAATTTCTAGACTTTTCATCCTTTCCAGTTTCAAGTGGAATGGGTTGTGCTCCTATGGACATCAGAAAACCCCTAGTCCTTACTACAATTATGGTGGGTTATCATTCAAGAAAGTAAAATAAATCCTTCGGCTTCAATTTATAGGAGCTCCTTTTGGACTCTTTGGCTAGAGAAGAACAATAGAATCTCCAATGACCAAGAAATGCCCTTCACTTGTTTAAACCCCTCCCTCTTTTACCTCTTTCTATAAGTAAAATTGTTTCTTTTTTCAACAATTATAGTATTGACTATCTTACCTCCATCTATTTCACATCATTAATGAAATTGTTTCTTATTTTTAATAGAAACATAACCTTTCATTCATCAATGAAAAGTTACAATAAAATAGTAATCAAGCGCCATTAAGAAGTCCAACTAACCTCTCAGGCCACACAGTAAATCTATCTTAAAAATACTTTGATTCCTCGCTTTCATAGTATTTGTCTAGAGGAACTTGACTTTGACTATAAACTTGACGCCACAAAGAAGTTGAATCTCGTGATGAAAAATAAACAAATAAAACTTGATTCTGGGTTGCCTGAAGCCATTAAGAATAGATT